CAATTTCCCGATTTGTTTCCTCAGGGTACTTGTCGGTGATATTGATAACCTCGACCAAGATGTCTCCTAGATATTATAGCAATGGGTTAGCAAAGTTAAAAATTTCAGCTCTCAAATAAGAAGTTTTCGCAAAGGATAGTCGTAATACCTTAAAAAATGCTTAAAATAGTCTAGGATAGTTTTTTTTAATGTCTACATAAAAATAATGGCCAGTTTAACTTAAAGAAAACTTGCGCATTAGTCGACACAAAAGAAGTTTACCGGTAGAGCATGGAAGTTGTACGGCAATGGAGTGAAGAGGTTGGCATCTTCGTAATCCATGAGCACAGTTCGCCAGCCCAAATCCTCATCCTCAGATTGAAGGCCATTCGCTTCAGCCTCTTGAGCCATCTTAACCAATTTGGTTTGTGCTGACATCACAAGACCTTCACGGATCGCTTTCAACAAGCCACCTCCAACGGCTGAATAGGAGGAATCAGCTGGGCTGCCGCCGCCAACTCCACTTCCTTCGAGGCCATCGCCAGCACTTCCGGCTCCAGATGTTGTTACTGCGCTTTGAGGCGCTCCGGGCAAGTCCCCTCCAACAGTGCCGCCGTCCTCGTGGCCTGGAGTACCGCCAGCTCGTTTTGAAGACTTGGAGCCGCCACGTAGGGCGGGACCGAGACACTCTGGTCGACGAATGAGCAATCGGACCACCAGATTAGCGTTCTCTTCGACACTTTCCCCTGAGAAGAACGTAAATATTAGACATTAAAATAATATGTTCTTTAAGTGGTATAAATAACTTGTAGATACGAAGAGTAACTGGGTTTCGATAAATCTCTTGAGATAACGTTGCCGGAGAGACTTTCACTTCGTATGAATGTGCATGAAGAAGAGATACGAGGGCCGATCCTGCAAGAGTACTACGCCTGACTTCCGTTATAGCGCAGCCGTTTGGCTTTAATACGACCTTCAGGTTGACGCAGTCCACAAAATATCCTCCATCGTTTCGGGCGAAAACG